ACACACACACACACACACACACACACACACACACACACACACACACAAACATGATAGAAGAAAAGTACAATTTTGTAAAAAAAATGGGAAAAGTTGCAATAAGCTCAGGTAAATTGTGATGAAATATTTTATTAAATTTCAACTTAAATGAAAATTCATTTCAAAATGATGACAGATATATATATATATATATATATCAGATATATATATATTGGTATAGAAAAAAATTTCTCCAGGATATTGTTTGGCTAAAGTGCAATTTGAAATTCGTAAAACCTGGCCGGACCGAACGCTCTCCCCAATGCGATGTCGATGATATTGTACAATATTACATTATTTAGTTTTGCAAAACTTTAATGACATTTTGTTATTAAATGTAACTTTTTGTCAATGTTTCATAATTATTTCTCTTGTTTTCTATATGTATATATATAAATATATATATATATATATATATATATATTTTTTTTTTTTTTTTTGGGGTAAAATCTGCTTTTGTTGGTAAAGTTGTCGGAACATTTGTTGCATACAAATATGAAATTACCATACAATGCATTCACTTCCGTAACTCTCGAACAGACCTTTATACAAACTTAACATTTGCTGTATAAGAACATAAGCATATGCATATGTATATAAACAAAAATTTAATAACTAAAATAAACTCTTCTTCATCTCTTAGCAGTCCCTTTCGTGTTATGCAAACAAAATCATATTAGACAAGAGACCGATTATATATATGTTCGATTTAGACCGAATCCTTTTCATGTACACATCATTTATATCAAAAATTTCAATTCGAAAACTTCATTAGTTAGCTGCACCCACATTGAAGAAGATGTGAAAGCGATACACTAGCGACAGAAGTATCCCCCAACTCTAGATAGAAATGAATGGATATCCTAACGCAAAAAAACATACATATATCTCTACAATATTCTGATCTGGATAAGTTTTCCTTGAAAGATGAGACGAGAAATCGAATTTGTTGCGGATTCTCTCTTACTCTTTGTTTTCTTTCCCTCTTTTTCGTTTTATGGGTTAATAGGAATAAAGGCAAGATTATCCCGCTATTATGACATTAAACAATCGAAACGAATTTTTTTTTTTTTTTGTTTAAATCATAATATTATGTGATACCAATATAAGAATACCTAGACGTCACGCTAAACACGATCTTTGAGTTAAAGTTCATGGACAACGTTGACGTTTGCTAATTTAGACTTTGACGGGATCCTATTTCAATTGATCAAGGTTTAAGGTTTTATGTACAACTTGCCGCACAAATTGCTTACTCAAATTATTCTAAGCTTTGCCGTTGCCGTTCAGTTCAGTTGAGTTCAGTTCAGTTTCATCTAGAAGGTCAGGTCGATTCAATTGGCATTCTCTCTATCGCATCTTACGCCGACTTGTAGAGACTGGTAAGGAAACAACAATGTAGCGTCGAATGATGTAGAATAGATTGATTTCATCGTATTGTCGCGCTGGCTCAGAAAGCTTGTAGCCTTACGAGCCTTAAATTGTGAATTCTGAATGCTTGCCTCTCGCGCGTCTGCCACTTATGTTGTCTAAATGTAATGAAAATTTGACTTAAGGTTTGATTAAGAACTGACCACTTGACGGCTGACTATTTGTAGATGAATGCAGAGGACAGACGGGACGTGAAAGTTAATATACCATCCACTAGTGGAGATTGAATGTGCTCTCTATGATATCTTCTGTGCTTGACACATCGCAACTTTACTTTGTATTAAAAATAGTAGCTTTTATCGGAATACGGCAAATAAAAATAACAAAAAATATAACAAGAAAAAAAAAAAAAAAAAAAAAAAGGAACAAATATTGAAATAAAAACGAGAAAGCACAAATGTTAGAAGTGCAAAGTATTTTACACTTTTTGCTGGTTGAAAGCACAACAGATTTACGCATACAGTCATGCATACATTATGTTATTATTAGAAACTTTACTTCAAGTTTTTGTTTTAGGGGTTTTACGTTTATTCCTTCATTTTTTTTTGTTTAACTCGTTATTATTTAGGTTTCAGAAAACTTTTGATTTCAACAATGCTTTTGTTTTGATTTTCATTTTGTTTTTTCGCCCTTTTTGTTTTTTTTTTTTGGTTTCATTATATGTTATGGAAATTTGTGTTTGTTTGCGCACTCACATGTGTGCTTTTGAAATCCGTATTTGCGGTATTAAGTGTCGAAATGCATTAGAGAGAATATTTTCTCAGTCCTTAGTTTTTGTTTTACTATTTTTTCATAATGAAATTAATACCTTTTCTGTTCTGTTTTTAATTTAAGACATTTGTTTCTTCCAAGTTTTGGCCTACAATAACTAGGAGACTTGCGTCGTTGCGGCAACGACGGAATGGATAAAAGCGAGAGAAACGGGGGGAGTGATATTGCGAATAATGCGAGTAATGCGAGTGTTTTGACAATGTCACCATCGCGTACGGAATTTTTCGTTAAAAAAAGGAAATCACACCAAATAAATAAATAATTAAGAAAGGCAGAAGACCTTCCGTTACAAAACAAGGTATCCTCTATGTATATAGTTGGGCTCATGTTTGCTTTGCACATGTGAAACATAAAATAATAGGAATAGAGGTTAGTGAAGTACCCTGTATTGTCTGCATTTATGACAATTTTTTTTTCTTCTTTGCATATCTGCATTAACGTAATGAAACTCCCGCCTTGCTAAGTCCTTTTCAGCAACGAAAGAGAGGAAGGAAAAAAAGCAAGCAAAACGACAATATTCGGCTAACGCCGAATCTTTAATACCTTCTCGTTTAACATTATATTCAAAGAGAATATGGAAAAATTTTTCAAATCTTTTCATTTTCCCGGCCAAGATTATGTTCACCATAGCACATTACATAGGCGGACAGATAGACAGATAAGCAATCTTAAATCAATTGATCGAGAATATGTAAACTTTGTCGGACCTCTAAAGCCTGCTGCTGACTGTTCGAAACATGTTTTGACAAACAAGATGAATGCATGACCGTCCGTCGGTAGCGGGTGCAACAAAAAAAACAAGAACAAATGATTAGAGAAAATCTTCAAACATACAAATGCTGTTGTAATTGCAAAGTGTATGAATTTTTTCACGTTTCGTGTGCATAGCATCGTGATACAACAGTTTAATGTTGTTACTTAAAATCTGCTCGACTACTTTCTCAACGTGGCTGAAATTGTTCATTCAAATTGAAAAACAAAAGAAATGTTGACTATTTCGCCTTTTTTCATCATTCAAGCTTCATTAGTTTTTATATATCCGCTTTAACGATGTCGTTCTACAACATTTGAATGCGAAACTTTTATTTGCAAAATGTAATAAAAACAAGCGGTACCAGCGAAACAGTTAAGAGTGAGTTTACTTGTTACTTTTTCTCTTCCTCTTTTTCTGTACCTCTATTCTTCTCACTTTACAATTAAACATCTCAATTCGCATTTAAATATTGTGTGTTCAGCAGTCAATGGATCGGAGTCGCATCGTCGACTCATCGTTCTCAGTTTTAACTTTAGACAAACTAAGTCGGCTCAGTCCTGCTTTATGCATCCTTATATCTCTTAGAAGATCGAATTCAAAGATGTTTAATATAGAATTCATTTTATGGATCGGCAATCTCTTCCATGTATATGGGTGCGTTTTTCCATCAAGCTTTGCGCTTACACAAGGAATGAAATCATCATAGCTTCATACATGTCCCCTACTCTTCTCAACAATAAATGAGTACATACATCTATAAATATACATACATATGAAGGCTGGTGGTACTTAAAAGATTCTTACTTCCCTTGATTGGAAAAAAAAAAAAATCTTCATAAATACAACTACACTTTAGCAGTAGAGTGTACGATTACAGGACGCCAATGTACTCAATCTACCCCCTACAAGCGTATGTCCTATCATTTTCTTCCGCGCACCACCAGCAGGCATTATTTAGTGCAATCAGTTCGCTGGGTTTTGCAAAATCTTAATGAGACGCTTATCCGTCTACTACGCGGTCGACAACGCTATAAGCTTTGTAATTCTCTAGCGTACGATCAATTATCTTCCGAGATCTCTAGCAGAGTCGACACTATACCATGAGCACACTGCCTTCGAACGTGGTGTCCTGGACTTCTTCTTCAAAGTTCACAGAACTACACTTCGCCTAAACACAATGGCCGCCTGTGAGAGTACTTGTTGTTATAGATGGTGGTAAGGTGCATGAGCACGTCTTGTATCTTGTATTCCCCTCTTCCGCTCGTTTTCGTATTTTCACTTTTTCGATACTTTTCTTTGCAGACTTTCCTTTGCAGAAGCGATTCATCTCATGCGGCCACATTTTAACTGGCATTGCTTTTGCAATTAACAAAATCACTTCTTCGGCAATAGTGCGAAAGCCTCCTAGCGTCAAGGCTTTAAGTTATAATCAGCTCTCGGGACGCGGTCTTCACAGTAACGGTCCCAGCTAACACCAGGGAATTGTGTACGACATTGGATATTATATTTCGAAAATTTTTTGTCGTCAATGTCACTACTACATAATCACTGCACTGCTTAAAATTTCGCCCAAAGCGTATCATGAAGTCCAGGTAGTTCAACAAAGCAGATGTGATTATCAATCAGCCGTCGCACTGTCTCCAGCTTATTTATTAACAACGCGCGGGTTTTGTGTTTCTCTGTCTCTAGACGCATTATATCCCGTTCTGTTTTTAAGTGCGCTATTACGTCATTGACGATAGAATTTCACACGAGTAATTTGTTTAGCTACGACATCTAGAGCAATGCCATCAATAAAACGAACTGTTCTAGTTCCACTGGGGATTGATTATAAGTAATCTTGCATTACAAAGGACTACAGAGTAATTCCTTCCTTCGTTTTTCGCTTTAAACGCGTAGGTTGTAGGTTTAGGTTAACCTATAGGTTTCGTCGCAAGGTTCATCACTCGTTTCATAGCATCCACAGGCCTTTTGATAATTTATATAGATATATATATATAAATATACATACATATATATAAAGTTGCATTAAAATTGCATAGACGTAATGAGCTTGATTTTTTGACCGACTTTGTGAATACAGAGTGAAAGCCTAGGTATCGTAGATAATTTTATTGTACATATCGGTTCAGATGAATTCGGGAATGTAATAAGAAAGATTTGAAGAATTAATCGTAGTATGAATGTGAAAAATGCGTGGAAGACCTCCTTAAAGTCATTAATTAACTGCAAGATTTATAAAGTAAATCCATGTTTCACTTTCTTAACTTTCCATTCAGTGAACGTCCTTCATACAATAGACAATACTACACTTTCCATTTCCCATTTGTTTGCATCTGTTTATTTACTTCCTCTGCTAATCTTGAATAATTTCTCAATATACATTCAGTTGCACTTGATTTATTAAAAACAATATCATCTTTGTTCAGTTATGTGTACGGGTATAGGTCTATTTCTGTTTATTGTTATATACATATATATATATATATATATATATATATAAATTCATCATATACATATATGTATATCCTTGTTGTTATGCTCTCAAGTAGGTTCGTGTTCCCTTTGTTTGTGAAGAGCACTGCTTACAATAACGGTACTTTATAATATTATATAAATACATAAAATATTTTACTCGACTACTTATAACTTATTATTATCTTTAATCCGCTTTTGCTTGTTGTTGCTACATTTTTCTCATTGTTGTTGCTATTTTATTTATTTTTTATTTTTTTTCTCATTGTTGTTATTCTGAATTTCATCTACATTTTAGCTTCATTTTTAAATGTATGCATGCATCTATTGTTTTTCATTTGTTTGTTTGTTTGTTTGTTTGTTTGTTTATTTGTTTGTTCGTCTGCTTGCAGTAACTACAAAGTGCAATCAACCGGAACGAAACAATGGTATTTATTGTCTGTATTCATTGGCGATGCTGTGCGTGATGTTCCCCTATGTCGTTTACTGGCCAAAAGGATGCCATGTCCAAATGTTGGACCATTGCCGCCACCGCAACCCCGTTAAACGCTCAACACAATGCAACAGGAAAGTCTCTCTGCAATGTGTATCTACCTCAAGTTTTCTTCATTACACAATTTCATCTTTGCGTAATACCCGGTGTTGTAATGAACGTTTTTATTCCTTTGTTTTCGTTTTTGTCTTTCTTTTCTCTTTCCTTCTTTCTTTGATATTTATTTTTTTCCGTTTCATTCTCATTTTTATTTTTAAATTTCCATGCAGTAAACCGTTTAAAGAGGGAAACAAAGGCAAAAGATAGGCAACCAGGCAGACATTTAAGCGTATTAATCCCACTACCGCTAACTAGAATGCTGAGTCATAACATAATGATGACATGGTTGGGGGGAAAAGCTACAAAAAAAAAAAAAAAAAAAAAAAAAAAAAATGCTTTTAATTTTTTTAGACGATAAGAGCACTGATGACAGTGTGACTGTACCATGAATTGAAGAATAGCTAGCTGAGTAAGAAGACCATGATAGGTTAGGTGGGAGGGAGTATGTTCATCAACCACAAGTACAATATTTCGAAAAACAAAAAAATTATTATTATTATTATTATTTTTTTTTTTTTTGTTTGTTACTTTCCTTTCCACTGACGTTGTTGCAGTTGGCATTACGTTTGGCTGGTCAGTTAGCGAGTCAGTCAGTCAGTCAGTCAGACGGCTGAACGCATACATTTAACTTGATTTTGTGAACAGTAATTTAAAGTGGAATGCAAATAATTATGTTGCATAAATTAAACAAATGCTATTGACATGTGGTATGTTCTCGTCAACAACAAACGAAAAAACACAAAAACAAAACAAAAGGGTGCTTACACGTTACATCAATTGAGCAGGGCGTAGTGGAATGAGCAGAAAAATGTTATTAAATTTTTATATATTTGTCTTTAAATTGCTTTTGTTTGAAATCCAGTGGGAGATCATTATTTTCACAGTAATTTCAACCAAACAATAAATGACCAGAGACCAGAATTGCACTCTGTTGTTATAATACCGCTTTTTCTTACTTTTTCATTTTACTTTTGTCCGTTCATTTATTTCGTTGCAAACCATTTCATTTTGCTAGCAATCAAGTCAAACTGAAAAAAAAATGACTGAACATTTTTTCATTAAATTACAAAAAAAAAGTTTCTTTTTTTTTTCATATATATATATATATATATATATATATATATATGTATTTATAAAGTACACAGAAGAACAAATATTCAACAAATTTTTCTTAACCATATGTACTGAATGTGTTGCATTCATTACAATAACAACAATCCACCGTGATAATAACAGCAGTACCGTGTGCGTTAAGCGCCTTATTGTCCAACATTTGTCCAGAAAGATAAATGAAGAGAGCACAAGAGAGACTTTTGCAAGCACATCAGAAAGTATCGGCATTACTGTCACTTTGTTCATATCACATCATTTCATTCCATGACTGCATGCCTTGCCCATGTAACTACACCGTTCAGTATCTCTCCATCACCGACAGCCATTTATGGATATTTCATTTTCACCATTTACTGCAGCACAGTTTAATTTTTGTTCTTTATCTAGGGATTTTTACATTTTGGATTTTCCTCCTTTTTGTTTCTCTTATGTTTTCATTTTATGTTATTTTGTAGTTTTTGTTTGCTCAGTATTTTCTGTTCTGTTCTTTTCTTTTTCTTTTTCTTTTTTTTTTTTCCTTTTCTGTGGCTATATTACATTTCATTTGGTCGCAATTTAATACCCGTGCTTAACTTGTTGATTTTTGCCTTAAATGGTTTCTGTTTTTACTATATTTGGTTTTTTTTTTTTTTTTTCGTTCTTGTTGTTGTTGTTGTTAGGGTTATTCAGAAAATTTATTGCATTGTGCTTCCCTTTCCTCCTTTTTGATATTTTTTTAGACTCGACGTTTGTTTAATTTCAAATCCAATGTTTATTTTGTTTTTATTATATATATATATATATATATATATGTATATACTTATGGTAGATAGATTTAATTTAAAATATTTTTTAATTTATTTTGTTTACGTTATAAAGTACATTTATAAGTGTTTGTTGCTTGTTTCATTGTTATTTTAAATAAAATCGTATTTTGTATTATCGCCTAAAACTATGTTATTTGTCTTGATTGTTAGTATTTTGATGGATGGAATTAATATTTATTTATTTATTTTATTTATTTTTTTTTTTTCAAACCATTAGGACACCAATGGGTAATCCTTTAGTACTTCTCACTCTTATATATTTGTTCTAAAAAAAAAAAAAAAAAAAAAAAACCAAAAAGTAATTAAATAAGAGGGAGTGTTTTAAATATGTTTGACGCAAAATGCAATAATTATTCAAAAAAAAAAAAAAAATTCTTTATTTAAGTTGAGATTTTCAAAAGTTAAATTTCATTGATTTTTCTTCCTTCCAAATACGGGAACACTTTCTAGGACCAAATTTGTTTTTCATCTTTCACTTCACTTAATTTCGTGTTTGTCCAGGGCAGCTAGCGCAGCTACATCCCATGTAAAATATCTTGTCTCCACATATATAGCAAAGATTAATGCGACAAACTCATAAATGCGAAAAACTTGACTTAGAAAACCAGAATACTCTAGTGGCTAAATTGCTGAGAATCTCATCTTAATCTAAGAAAAAAAGACTATTGAAATATTTTTATTTATAATGGATGCGTTTATCATCAGGAGGATGATTACTTTTACGTTTCTATATAGCGGAGAATCGTTTTTGTTATGCCATTAACGTAGATTTATTGGAAGTATATTAGCTTAGATTGCAATCGTTCACAAGTCACAAGGTTGCAAAGAATCTTCGCGCGGCTCTTCATTCAGAATCGATTTCGCTCAACGATTATTCGAAATTGCAAAGCATTCCAGGCCACGAGAAAATATTCCATAAGAATAAAAAGCAATACATAAGCAATTCCTTTAAGCTTTCTATCGATTAAGCCAATAGTATTAGTTACAGAATAGCTACGATTTTTGTGCATAATAATTTTCATTTCACTTTAAGACACTCTCACATTATCTTCCCGTTTCATAAAATGTAAACTTTTTAACGAGATTTTAAAAGGAAAATTTATTAAATTGAATTTTAGTTATTAAAGAATTCGAAAATCTATCATATAAAGTAGATGAACTTGCTGTATGTGCAGCAAGAAAGCAAAAATGAAAAAAACAGGTGTCCATGTGCTTCTCTTTAATGTATATCGTATTTGATTAACATCTATATATATATATATATATATATATATATATATATTAATATATAAATATATACGTAATATAAGTTAACTAAGTGGATAAGTGAATAAATATATAAGTGATTAAATTAAAGTTTGTGCTACAAATATACTTTTCTACCATCTGGTGTTAAATAATATTCAGTTACACCCTGAGCATTAGTTACATAAATATTCTTGCTATCGAATTTTACTTTAGTTGAAGCGGAAGAACGTATAGCAGCATTTGAGGCGTAAGGGCGACTATTTGGACGTAATTCATAAGATTGATGGATGATACCTTGAAATGTATGGCTTTTTGGGGTAGAAACATATACAGAAGGTGACGGTGTAGGTAAGAAAGTAAATGTCTGTTTGTCACCGATGTGATGAAACGAAAAAGGTGGATTTAAATTATTTTGAATATAATCGAATGAGAAGTTTTGAGAAGAGGTCTTTTTATCATCGGGCCATTTAAAAACAGTTTCCTTAGTAGAATTTTTGTCATAATTAGACTGAATGCTGTCACTTAGTCTATTTACAATTTTTGGGTTTCGCTCGGACAACGGTATACTGTCGTGACTTTCAGGATGTACGAGAGTACGTTGACCGTCATTTTTAAACACAATTTTTTTGGTTTCTGCTTTAGCAGATGCCGCCTTATCGCTGATGGGTGGGATGGTAGGAAATTTTAGTTTTCTAACTTGATTAAAATGATTGAACTCATCTATAATATTTATTATATTCGTATCGTTCATTACGAGATTTTCATTAATTTCCGGTAAGAATATTATCTTCTTACTATTACTTAAATGCTCTTCATTTTTGTAATCCTTAAAAGTTGCATAGCGTTGAGTAGACTTCATATCCTCTTCTCCGCCATAAATGTTCGTTTCGCCGTCTGCCGTCTGCGTCTTTAAGTTGATAGTATCATTAAACTTTAAAATTTGCATATCATAAGACTTTGAGGAACGTCGCAAGCGTTTGCTTTGATGTTGTGCCATAGCATTACCAATGCCGCCCATATAATCGCTTAGCATTTGTGCAAAAAAGTTTCCAATTCCACTCATTAAATCGAAATTTGTTGTTTGCGGTTTTGGCGTACTATTTAATGCTGTTGTTGTTGCTGTTACTATTTTGTTACTATTGCTACCACCAGCACCCGTCAGAGCAGCCAAAATATTAAATAATGAGTAACCGCCATCTCCTCCCTGTGTAGCGCTGTTATCATTATATCCGGGATGTTGACTACTTTGTTGTTGTTGTTGTTCAGGATAGCGTTGATGATGACTGCTCTCGTTCGATTCGCTGAAGAGTTTGAAAAATCCGCCACGATGATTGTTAAGGTAATAAATGACTTCATACTGCTCGAGAAGATAGAGAAGGAAACGTGAATTAAAGACGAGAACAATTTAAGCTGCTTCTCATAAAAACTTACTTCGTTTTTGGGGCATTTTGTGTAAGTTTGCTGGCAGCTAGACTCGCCACCGCTAATACCCAATAAAACGGCTCGTCCATAAATTAGAGCAGGTGAAGCGACAGGAAAACCGGCCAAGAAACTGAAATATTAAATTTGTGGTTAAGAAAAGTTGAAAACTTTTAATCTATTAACTCTTTAAGGTTATTCGCTTTTCCCGCATTATTATCCCGCATTCGTTTTTTATTTACCCTTACTCCCGAAACTAGGTCTTGACAAAGTCAATTACCGTATAAACAGGTTTCGAGCTACATGGGATCTGGTTTGGAATTTTAACTATACGTGTAAGTGTGTTGGCCTTTTCGTCTCTCTACGTTTTATTTACATTCCGTATTAACTTAAGATTCGAATATCGTTACTGTATCGTTTGTTATCGTTTGTTCTTGCTGTCTGAAGCGTTCTAACATGTGATGTTATATTAATTTGTGAAATTATTCGTAACGTGTTCAACGAATTTGGAAAACTTATGCAACATTAACATTAACATTAGCATCAGTACTTGAAGGTCATCTTGCGAAAATAATCCAAGATATAATAAAATGTTTGTCGGAGAGAAACGAACATTTAACTGTGGACACTTTAAAGTGTCCTTAAAGATTTACAGGACGAATTTAGATAAGACGAAAACATTCACTTTTTTATGGCATGTTTTCCCGTTCATGTGCATACAGAACAGAATATAAGCCTATATACAGTGAAGAATAATTATATGCGCGTCAGCCATGACAGCCGTGATACATAGGCGCTGCTCCATAAACTTATCAAGTTTGAATGAAAACATGGGTAAAAGTTAAAGTTGCGGCAAATGCCGAAAGCTTGAAGTTTGAAGGATTTCGGTTAAGAGTAATTGTGTCTTTAAGAAAACTATTTGTTTGAAATTTATTCGTTGACTTACTTTGTTACGGTTGGCGAGGTAATTATGCTGGGCAATTGACCATGTTGTGTTTGGCCGGCAACCATTTGGCAGAGGACCTTTGGCACGCATTGCAAGTCATCATTGCGCGCTATATTCTCTAAAGTTTTAACGAGTTGGGAGTTAATCGGCCTTTGTTCATTTAACTGGGCGGATGATAACGGCAACGAAGGCGGCGGCGCCTTATTAATGTTATGTATCCTGGTTAAAGCGCTCAGCAAGCTATTCAATGGATTATTTTTATTTGTCGTTGATCCTCCAGTAACGCCTGCGAATAACATATTAGTGAAGTGAGGTGCATACTGTAGCAACGAAGTCAAACCTAAATTCAGCTTAGACGCTACGAATGGTTTATAAGGCTCTTGATATGTTGTAAGCGTTGGTCTTTGGTAGGGGTAATTGAACGCTGGCGAAAGTGGTCGAGATATTGGAGGGGACACGTCGCCAGCATGATAGTCATAGTAATTATGGTAAGATAGCCTGTTCATTGTTGGCCATTGTTGATATAGTTGGGGTGGTGTTGGTGATAGTGAAGGTGATTGCGATGGTGGCGATGGTGGCGATGGCGGCGATGGTATACGTTGTGGTGGCAAACTATATTTATCGTGATAATAAGATGCTTGTTGTTTCGTATAATTGGCTGGTGGATATGGTGGCGTTGCTGCCAGTGTTGGTCGTCTATGGTAATGGTGTGTTTGCTGTGTTTTAGGCAAATAATTATCAATGTTGTTTGCATAATTAGGCAACGTAGACTTTAATGATGATGATTGTAAATGTGGCATTGACGTTACTCGATGCTCATTACGTTCAAAGGATGGGGTTGGCGGTGCTGTAAATGGCAAGAAATTCGATGTTTGATGCTGATAATAACTTGGTGGTGGGTAATCATGCGAATCGTAAGATATCTTATTTGTTGTGTGTGCGGTTGTTTGCCAATTCTCTGGTCTCTTATCTACCACAAGCGCATTAGGCGTTTGACCGTATTTCTGATAATTTGGCTTCTCATCCATGACGTAAGCGCTATGTATAGGATAAGTAATTTTATGGTTGCCATTATCCAAATAATGTAAAGTTTGTTCTTGCTGCTGCTGCTGCTGATGCTGCTGCTGCTGCTGCTGTTTATTTGAACCTACTGTTATGCTTGATTGCACTAAATATTCTTGATTGTGTGGAATAGACTCCTTCTTATCGTTGTGGCTATTAATGTTGTGTGTTGTAACGATTCCCTCATTCTCCGCCGGCCGATAATGATAATTTTCATTTGTGTAAGGATCCATATAAGTAAGGATGGGGATTTGCGGCAATAACTTGCTTTTCACTTCACTTTGAATTAATGGCTTGTCGCTATTTGAAGGAAATGAAAATTTCATTTGCTTCTTTGTATCCGATACATGCAATCTTTTATTATCGCTTTTCGTATATAAAGTGTTTGAAGTGCTCGTCAAGCGCGATATGTGTTTGTGCGAATCAGCATAGGCGATTCTATCATTTGCCATATAAGCCGGATTAATGCGTTCAGGCGCTATTGCATCTGCACTTGTGAAATCGATTATCGGCACTGGACGAAATTGCGTTTTTTCCTGAGCATTTGCACTTGAACTGAATGTTGGCGGCGTTTGCAAAAGCGTTTGATGAAAACTTTAAAAGATTCAAGAAAATATGAGAACGCAGGCGGACATAATAAATATATTGTTAACAATAATTAAGGGGTTAAGTAAAACTTTAAGATCGACGGGCAAAATGATTTCATTGAAACGCAATTATAAGAAACAAAAAACTTAATATGAAAATTGTTGAATTTATTGTTGTTGCATTGTGCTTTATTTTTTACGTTCTTAAGTTAATATGGGTTTGGATGTAAAATCTTAAGATTTCTATTAGTTAGTTAGCGAAACTTGCTTGAGGGTAGGTCAGAATGGTGGCATATAGCATACGGATGCACGCTAACAACAGCAATAACAAAGCCGTTGTGCGATAGACATAATGTGCGCATAATAGTTTTGCATTACGTGTGCTTAACTCTCGCTGTGTTAGAAACGTTGCGCTTCGTTGCCTTAATTAAGTGTTGATTTATGTAATTACTACGACTGACTAAATAATATTTCGGCTTATTTTCTTCTTTTGTTTTTTTTTGTTTTTGTTGTTTTCGTTTATTAATTTCTTTCATTTCTTGAAATTCGAGTGATCAACTTACCTTTCGTAATTGGAATTTTGTAACGTTGGATGCAACATATTGTCATTATTAATGTTTTTATTATCGTTGCTGCTGCTGCTGCTGCTGCTGCTGCTGCTACTGCTACTGCTGTTGTTGTTATTATTGTTGATATAATTTTTATTATTATTATTGTTATTGTTGTTGTTGCTATTATTATTGTCATTCTTGTTGTTGTTATTAGCCATATTACGTATTCCAGCCACGTATGTGAAAAATGATATAATTAGTATTGCAATTTGTTGTTGATGGCGCATTGTGATTGTTGGTAATAATATCAACATTTTGACATTTGTTATGACAACAAAACGAATTTTGTGCAAAATTGCAAAGCAACTAAATCGAAATGCGAAATGAGGCGACGCTGAGTGAGACGACGGCAAAGATGATATTGTTGCTGATGATGATATATTACGAGCGTTGAAAGAAGAAAAAATTCAAGTTGAATAATGCGAGGCAATCATAAGCATATGACTAAATAGAAGTAGCAAAAAAAAAAAAAAAAAAAAAAATAGAAAAAATAAACCTCTCACACCTATTTGCATGCACAGACAAGGAAACATAAACGCGAACATTTATATATGCATAGTTGTTTTTACTCATCATCAGAGATCACTCAGGAGCTCCTCTTAACCTTGTCTAACGAAACGAATTCGTAAATAGTACAGTCTTTGTTGGTATGTGCACATTTTCTTACGATAAATGAGTGGCAACTGTCTTTACATATTATACTTAGCTTAGTGTATTATTTCAGCAAATGTCACACGTTTTTTTTTCTTTTCTTTTTCATAATGAATTTGTGTGCGTTTTGCTTTTCTGTTTTTTGTTTTTTGTTTTTTTTTTTTCCTTTTTGTCGCCTTACCCTCCTATTCCTTCACCAACACTGCTTTCATGCAACTACTTAAGCAATTTTGTGACGCGTCAGCATAACAATTCATAACTGTAAAGCTCTTTACTCTAGCATAAAATTTGTATACATTATCTATCCATGTATCTTTAACCCGTTCGCTGCCAATATCTTCATATACGAATCGTTCGATTTCCTTAAGTTAAACAAGGAGCTTTACCAACGAGTTTATCATTTTTTTTTTTTTTTTTTTTTTTTTTGTTATGTTCCACGGTTTTTTAAGGAAATAATTGTGTTTTTAGTTTCGATTTTTTGCATATTTTTTATATTCTTCAATATTATATTAATTGCTTGCATGTATTTTGATCATCGGCATTTATTCGTGAAAATGATTAAGTTATGCAAAAAAATGCATTGTACACAACGATCAAATTCGACAATCTTGACCTTGCTCCTTATACAACAACAATTTACCATTTAATATTATTGAGTATTATTTGGGACGTGCACGCGCCGAAAATGGAGCGCTCATAATTGCATCTTCGACTTTCATCGTTTTTGTTTTTTGATTTGGAGAAATCTAGTGCCGAAGCCTATCAAATATCTTTAGAAGCTTATGCTGATGCTGGTTCATCATATTCCAATTGTCTCGGCTTTGATTTCAACGGTTCAAAAGTGATGATACGACTTGACGGAAACTGTTAAAGCGCCTTCTGATTACCGCTTGGCTGGCACGCGGTTTCGAAATGCTGAAGAAGTGTGAAAATGGATCGATAATTGGATCGCTGCCAAGTCAATGTCGTTCCTTCGACACGATATCGTCATATCGCCAGAAAGTTGGGAAAAGATTGTAGAAAATGATGGAAAATACTTTGATTAATACATACATTATACCAATTGTACTAATTCTCAGTAAATGCCTTTTTGTAGTGAAAAAATGATTAGAATACATGCAAGCACCTCTTATATTTCATATATTATGTTAATTATTTATTATTATTATTGTTATTAATTTAATTTAGAGAATAAATTCTAAGACTAAAAAGTCTTAAAGCACTAGAATCCAAGGCTAACGGCTTTATTAAAAACTCTACCGCATTTGAGATTCGAACCCGCGACCAATGAATTGTTAGTCGAGGCTCTTGCATACATTGCGGCCACTCAGGCGGATTAATTATTTTATGTAAATTTTTGTTCACTTATTTACGATTTTAAAAAATTTTATCTATTTTCAATCAAAACGTTTCATAATTTTTTTTTTAATACAACCTAATAAAGTATCTGGAACTCAAGTGTATGGGTGAAGATTTGAATGAAGAACACAATTAAAACTCGAAAATTTAGAACAAGTTCGAACTGATTTGTGTGTGATCTGAATAATTGTAAGTATTCATATAATCATTTCAAAATGATTTGCTAAGAACTTTAATTATTTTTATACCCATCAGCCGGGAATGAGGGGTATATTGCAGGAATTTGCAACGCCCAAAAGCAAAAGAAGCATTAGAGACTCCTCAAAACATATATATTATTTTGATCACCACAACAAATTTTAAATCGATTTAAGCAGGTCCGTCCGTCCGTCTGTATAATGTCTGTTGCGAGCATTCTCCGGGCCGCAAAAATGAAGCTATCAACTTCAAATTCAGCAGAAGCATTGGAAGTTCTTGCACGCAGATTGGTATTAAAAATACTTGACAGCGGTCGAAGGACACGCCTACAGCACCACGTTAACTGAGAATACTTCTGTTTTTCAAAGGAGTTGGTGTTTTGCTCATTACTCATAACCTATAGCAGACAAAGGTACAAAAATTTTAATGCATATTCTATGGGCGGTGCTGCAGCACCTTTGTAAAAATGAAAAAATTGACCACACCCACCCAATATAATAGTGTATCAAAATTTAATTTTTTTTTTTCAATAATTTCCTAACGCGCAAAAGCAGGCGTCACAAAACCCCACAAAGTATATAAGTTCTTGGCCAGTTTCAAATTTGGAATGCACCCAAAACATGCCCGCCTGTTCGTTTGTCCATCTGTCTGTCTGCGCAACTGTGTAAGATTTGCGGTAAACATTGTTGGTTCGCGCACAAATTTGCCAAAAAAAAAAAAATTGGGAGGGACGTAAAATTTTCGCAGGACACGCCTACAATGCCCACACGGCTATACGAGAAAAACTTTTATTTTGAAAATAGAAAAAATCGGCTGCGCCCACTCCATATTGTGGAGCCCTTTTTTCTCTTTTTTAGTATAACGGAGATGGGTAGAAAAGATCGACGTTGCCGGTGACCGAATATAATTTTCTTTCTTGTTTTTTGTCTTTTTTTGCTTTCCTCGATAGTTTGCCTAAAAGAGATTTCATTTCTGGTATTAGTTGCACATTTGGATCGTAGTGCGGGACGGTACTGTTTTAGAGCTTGGGCAGCGAAAGGGCTAAAGTAAAAAGTTTAAGGAGCCTGGTAAGTAGATGGGAATATGTTGTGTGTGAAAGAAATTCGTAAAGAGAGAAAAAAGTGTTTTTGTATATTTTGTCATATTCAAGTCCTTCGGGATAATTTGTTGGAACATTTGCAAATAAATAAGAAAGTTACTCGAAATTCGTTTGCCTGTCATAACATTCATATGCTACGCATAAAGACGTCACACAAACACAAATATGCATGCACACATACACATATACCATTAGTATATGAAAATTTATAATCAGCGATTATGCAGTGTCACACAGAACAATTTCGGCGCAGGCGAAATGCAAATATAATCCGTCGCACAAATCGTTGAAAGTTTCACTACAATCGTATTGAAAGGTAGTGAGTAAAGCAGAGAGATATCTAGGATCATGAGGGGGAGGGGGGAGAGGGGGGGAAAAAGAAAATATTTTTGTGTAATTTTGTATTTTAAATTTTCATCTCGGGTTATTTTAATTAAAACGAGCACGTTTTCTGTTGAACAAATTACCTAAAATTATTGTGAGTCACATTTGTGACACCGTAGAGCTCGGTGTGCATTGTGCAGCTAATTTCTTGGTTGAATGCTTTCCTTTGCTCAAATTCAAATGCATTCATTTTTCTACAATTGCTCACAACGATGATGATGATGATGATGATGATGATGATAATGATGATGATGATGATGATGATGATTATAATGATGATGACAATGAATATTTTGAGAATGTATACAACACTTTAGTATATAGAGGCATCGGAATTGGGATACTGTCTGAAATGAGGTCCGTAAGTAGCAGGTGTTAGAGAAATATTGCAAAGTGTTGTTGCTATTGTTTTTATTATTATTGTTGTTGCCGTTGACGTTGTTACGGCTGGTGACAGAAGAAAAACCTTTCAACCTTTTCAGACAACACTTGTTGTTGTAGTAGTAGTAGCAGTTCAGTTTCTCACTTCTACTTGGCCTTAGTTGAGTACGTTTATATGATACGTTTGTATGATATGTTCAACTCCATGTTTAGACAATATTACCACAAATCTTGTAGAGTTCGTTTTTCCATATTTTTCCGTGTTTCATACTTTTTGTTTTTTTTTTTTTGTTGTATATGTAAAGATTTTAAGTTGTGTATTAGATACAATGCTTCCAAGATATGAGATATTATGCAGGCGAGGGAAGTACGCTTAGCGAAGTGTACTCCGAATGACAGAAAATTTCTATTAAAAATAATGCAAATTCTATTATCAGATGTTTGTGTTCAAGTTGAGTTTTTCAAATTATGTTCAATTTTTAGCATACGAATCGCCGGCGGTAAGCAATACCTTTTATCTATTAAAAAAAATAAAATAAAAAAAAGTACAATTTTGGCCATATTTCTCAGGATAACTGCAATCTGTCTTCCTTGGATTTTCTCTACAAAAATAAAGTGTTCCCTTATCCGTACCATCGTTTAAATGTGTTCGTTTCAATTGCCCTTTATGGTGGCTATCATCCCTTCTTTGCTTTCGGGTTTTTTTTTTTTTTTTGCTTTCTTATTCTGTTCTTCTTCTTGATATTCATTTGCTTATACATATTCGGAAACTGAAATATCATAAAAGATAAAATAAAAAAAAAAATATAATGCAAAAGAAATACGAAAAGAGAGAGAGAGAGAGAGAGAGAGAGAGAGAGAGAGAGAGAGAGAGAGAGAGAGAGTTTGGGTTCGGAGGGACACTTGCTTTTTGCATTATAGTTGTCTTGTTATGGTAACGGTTACACTAACGTAGGAAACGGAAATG